GGGTGGGTGGATGGGTGGAGTGGATGGATAGGTGGATGGAATGGTGAGTATGTGGGTGGATGTCTGAATGGGTAGATGTACAAATGGGTTGACAGGTGGATAGACAGTAGATGGATTGGTGGGTGCACGGATCGATGGATAGAGGAGCAGATAGATGGGTTGGTAAGTAGATGGATAAACAGATGAGTAGAGAGATAAGGAGATAGGTGAGTAGGTGAATGATAGGTGGGGGATGGAGGAATCCTACCATAGGTACATAGTAAAGACTGGTAGTATGAGTTCTCTGCTAAGGAAGGGTCAGACCAGTGCAGTGTGGTCTGAACAAAAGTGCAGAGGCTGATGTGCCGAATGGAATGCAGTTGAGCTGCTCTGCTGGGACCAGAGCCTGCTGTGGGACCCTTAGCAAGACCATTAGTGTCCTCAGCCTTCGTTCCAGAGTCTAATCATGCATTGAGTAATTCCTGTTCAGGGTTAGCAGGGAGATGGCTTTGGAGGTTTGAATGCTGCTACAAAGGAGTTAGCAGCCACAGTTTGAGAAGCAGGTCTGGCTGGGTCTGGCTTAGACATTCCTCTTCTCTAGCCTTGCCTGGCTCTGCTGGCCTCAGGGCTGTGTCACGCTACCTCCACAAGGGTAGGGCCTCTGGCTATACCCTCCTATCATAGTTCAGACTGGGTAGGCTGTTAACAAGGCTCACCTCCAAAGATCAATTAGACCCAGCTGGTTCCTGGGACCTTGAGGAACTCTAAGTAGAGGACCAACGCCTTCTATCCATTTTACAGACGAACTGAAGCCAGAAGCTGTGGATATCACACAGGAGTTACAAAGAAGCACTGAATCAGGGTCAAGAGCAATGGGGAGAAAGGTGACCACCCCACCCTCAGCTTTGGCCCAGCCCATCACTTTCCAACTCTGCCCCTGCGGGGTCTCAGGAGGTGGTGGTGTGGCCTGGCCATCAAGGCATTTGGTTGGGTTTACCTTTCTAGGTCTGCAGCTCAGTAACAGGTGGCAGCTTCTCTCACACCCCTCGAAGCATTGGTCAGCAGTCCCCGCCTCCTCCTCTTCCTCCTGGGTACACAGAGTGAAACAGGACATGCGTGAGCAGTCCAGGACACAGACAGCCGTCACTCCCATTCACCCCAGTCCCTGGCGCTGGGTAATCTTAGTGGCCTCTGAGCCACTTAAGGCTGCCTGGGATGCCTGATTTATCGGCAACTCTCTGCCCTCCCCGCCCACCAAGCTGAGCCAGTAAGGCAACTCCTGAGTGGATTTTTTCAAACTCTGCATATATGTAAAGTTCTGCTTCTTCTGGGGCTTGGGGGCTTTGTGGTATTGTCTCTCTTCTTGGTGAGAAAAGAAGCAGCCGTCGCCTTCTTGTGCAGCCCTTAGCCAGGGTGTCAGGAAAAAGAAGCAGGGTATTTTTAGACAGTATACAAAGCCCTTGCCTGGTCTCTTCTCTGTGCCCTGCCTGGCTTCGGGGAATTATCTCACATGGCTGGCCGCCTTGCACCAGCCGCCTGTCACCCGCAGCCACTGCCAAGACAACTCTTTGACCCCTGCCTGAATTCTTTCTTCATTATGAACCACTCACCAGATCTCTGATGGACACTTGGGAGACAGATGACACGTGCACACCTCCCAGGAAAACCTGGCCCTCCCAAGCAGTCATGGATGGCTCTGCTTTGCCTGCAACCGGAGGCCCAGAGTCTGTTTATTTATCTTTTAATTTTGTATGTACATATTGTATGCGTGCATGTGCATGTGGGTGCTATCTACATGTCTGCACATGCAGAAGTCAGAAGTCAATGTCAGGTGTCTTCCTCAACCACTCTCCACCTTGTTTTTTGAGACAGGGTTTTGCATTGAATATATAGCTCACCAAATGAGTCAGACTGGCTGCCATTGAGCCCCAGAGAATCCTCCTGTTCCCACCTCCCCAGCACTGGGATTACAGGCACACGCCACTGAGCCCAGCTTTCACATGGATGTTGGGGATCCAGCTCAGGTCCTATGCTTATGTAGCAAGCACTTTAGTGACTGCCATCTCCCTAGTCCTCAGAACTAGCTTAAAGCAGATGAGATCCCTGGTTCCCATTTGTCTTGTGTTCCCCAGACTTCAGGACTCCCACACCCTTGGAAATCCTTTGTAGGAGCCACTACCTACCAGCAATGTGACACAATTGATCTTAGCCTTAACCTGTTTTTTCCAGTTCCAGTTAAGTGTGGCCTTGTCCAAAGTAATCATAGCCATGGAAGAACTGGTTTGACATATAGTTATGTGTTTCCAATGCATCTCTAATATACTTTAATAAATATATAACCAATGAAACAAAAATATATGTTCTTTCTTGTACTAATTTTAGAATCTTGTCACAGACTTCTAGAGTTTCCTGGGCCAAGTTCTTGAAAATTCACTAAAGTGAATCAATCCTGTATGCAGGATTGAAAAAAGGCAGGGAAGTAAATTGGTGGGCTGATAGGGTCCAAGTGTTAGGCCTGAGGGAGGTGACAGGGCCAAAGTCACAGGGTGCTAAGGGCTTGTGGTGATCCCCTCTTTCCAGTCCAGGCCTAGCGTCACACATGAATTTTTCAGTGACAATCTTTGTGAATGACAGAGGCCCTTCAGAGAATGGGGTGCCCAGAAGGCAGGTGGCAATGAAAAAGCCTGGGGTCCAAGATGGCATTTCCCAGCATTCCTTGCAGCTCTCTTCTCTGTTCCACTGGACTCCTCTAGACTGCAGTTGTTGGCAGGAGCTAGCACATCATCCCCTCTTTGGGTCTTATTCCCTGATCCTACAACCTGAACTCCCTGTTCCTTGATCCTATGGATTCCAGGGCAGCCACCAGCCCTCTGTGGTTGTTGGTCTCCCTATGTATGGCTTGGGGACAGGCCCTAATGATGCTGGTGGCCTCTGAGCACTCAGGCCTTACTGATGTTTTGCTCGCAGGCTGGAGACCCTGGCTGGGCCCCGGCTGCCCCCCTCCTGCTGAGAACAGGATGTGGGTGTCAGGAGGTGAGGAGAGTGTGGGGTCGAGTGGGGAGTGGCCTTGGGCCGGGACTTCCTGAAGCCAGATCGGTTTACCACAGACAGTTGGGCTCAGGACCGACCGCACAGCTGTGAGTTATAAATGTCCCTGTCTGAGGAGGGCCTGGAGGTCCTGCTGCTGGTAGAGGCACCAAGTGTCCAGAGCACCTACTTATGGGGCTTCCTCAGCCAATGGCCCATCCTCCAGAGGCTAGTCCCATGTGTCCGATCCTCATGACCCCAGACTCTTCATCTCCCCCTCTGAGGTGACTGATGATGACATAGGGAGACTGACCCCGTCTTCTGCCTGGTCCTCATTCTTCAGGTGAGAATTCTGTGGTCCCAATGATCCAGCAGACTCCCCCAGGGCAGACCTGGACCCCAACCTAACACTGAACCCTGGGTTTGGCACACAGCCAGCCACCTCAGTGACAACTGTCCACCTCAGGAACTTGCTTCCAACAGTGTCAACACAGCAGGGTATACACAGGGGAGAAGAGAGGGTGAAGAGAGATCTCAGCCTGTGTGCCCTCAGCTCAGAAGAGCGGGGGAGCAGCTCTGGCACCAGGCCTCTGTGTGTTCCACGTAGGTCCCATTCTCCCTGTGGGCTACCAGGAGTCCCTCAGGCTAGGCTCAGGCTGAAAGATGGTCAGCCTTGCACACAGCATGGCATCCACACCTGATTAATTAGGTCCCTCTAAACCGGGGGGAGGGGGGTTAGTACCTCCTCCTGGGAGCACTGAGGAGGAAGACTGGCCACAGAAGCATAAATATAGACATAGTGTACTGTTCAGGCCTACAGGGGCTGAAATGTATGCAATTATGGAGGTCCTCTTGAATATTTAAAATTACAAATATATATTTAGAATTAGAGAAATCACAACAAATTCCTGGAGGTTTAGGGATCCAAACCCCCTTTTCATGAGGCATCTTTAAACAATTTACCAAAAAGGCTTACTCTGAAATGCTCCCAAATGCAACCTGCTGCACTTCTATCCTTAACACTCCAGAGCTCCCAGGGCCTCCAAGCCCTCATCCAGCTTCCCTTAGCCCCTCTCTAATCATCATAATAGTAATGAAACCATTAATAGTATCTAATAGTAAAGGACCTTTAGCTGTAGTATTCTAGGTGCTATTTGTACCCATTTTGACAGATAAAGAAGCACAGAGACAGGAAGAAAACGGCCCAAGATCACAGCTAAAAGTATATGACCCTGGACAGGTTGGCACTGTGCTATAACCAGCCTCACCAGTTGTCTCAGCTGCTGCTCTAAGGGGCTGGAGAGTTCTCCCTTTCATTCATTCATTCATTCATTCATTCATTCATTCATTCGTTCATTTGTTTGTAAGTGAAATCATTTACTCTCCATGCTAGGGCAGGCTGGATTTTCTGCATAGGCAAAGGTAGGCTTTGCCTCTATTTGTCAGAGCTGGTTGGCAAGGGTTATGGTAGGCGAGGCCCTAGAGATGGGCTGGGCTAATTCTATGGGGACCTTAGTGAAATGGGGGAGGGGGCTGCTCAAGGTCACCCAGTGTGTTGCCCTGCTGCCTCCTGTCACAGATAAGGAGAGGCGGCTGGAGAGGGGTGGTGTGGAATTGTGTCCAAGAGCCACAGGGGCCAGCCTGCAACAACACTGAGCTCCTGTGAGGTTTGAGGCTGGCTTCAGAAGGGCAGGGAGGGTTGTAGGAAGCCTAGGGTGAGGAGGCCAGGTGCTTTGTGGGACACACTAGCTGGTGGCCAGTGGAGGAGGAGGAAGAGGAAGAAAGAGGAGGAGGAGGAAGAGGAGGTAGTGGTCATGTTTTCTTCCTCCCTTTTGTCTTCCATCTGTCCCTATGGCCTCAAGGCTTCCCCAGGATGACCAAAGGGCTAATAGTTGAGAATGCGTGGTAGCGCTGGAGTCCCTTCCCACAGACAGCACATCGGGCAGAAGGGTGGCCCAGTGACTCCAGCCCAGTACTTACAATACACCATGGCTGAGCACTGAGTCTCTCAGCCCTACCAGTCTCCTATTGGACACAGGAGGAAGTGAAACCCTGGCTAGAAGACTCCGGAGCCTTAGGGACTATCAAGCTCTGACCTGAGCTTTCTGTACCAGCCCTGGTGTCTTGAGACTAGCTATCAAGAGGACAGACAGCAGAGAGCCAGGCAGGGGCTCTGCCATGTCTCGAGTAACCCTGGGCATGGAATGACCCCGAATATAGAGTGATCCAGGCAGGGAGCCACCTCCACAGGTCCTCCCACTACTTAAACTTTGCTTCCCCTAGAGGCTGCTTATGGTATACAGGACTGGGGCAGAGCCAGAATGATCCAGGAGTACTGTTCAACCCTGGGATGGGTAGGGGTACCTGTGGGCCAGGGACTAGCAGACAGGGCTCAGGCCTCCAGACTCCCAATATGCCAGAGCCTGGCTCTGACCTGGTGGTCATCCTCCCTCAGTCCCTCTTCCAGAGTGTCCCTTTCTTTGTCATCAGATACTGAAGCCCATCTGTGTTCCATCTTAATAATTCATTATTTAAATCACTTTAAACCAATCTCTTTCTACTTAGCATTATCTAAAGCACTACCATCTGACAAATCACAGGCCTGATATACATAAAGTTTTTGAATCCACACGAAAATAAATACATAATATTAAAATGTGAAATGAAGCTGGGTGTGGTGGAGCACACCTTTAATCCCAGCACTTGGGAGGCAGAGGCAGGCAGATCTTTGTGAGTTCAAGGCCAGACTGGTCTACATAGTGAGTTCCAGGACCGCTTGGGCTACAGGGAGACCCTGTCTCAAAAACACCCATACCTATGTCCTGGTAGGCCAGCACGCAAGACCTGGGCAGAGTGCAGGCTGGTCATAGAGAAGCCTCAGTCTAAGTGAGGAGTCTCCATAAGGTAGAAGGGCTGTTGGGAAACTGGGGCACAGATAGGAAGGGAGAGGAGGTAGAGATTTCTAGACGTACACACAGGCTCAGCCAGGCTACCTCTTTCTTCCTTATGACTCACAGTTCGGGCCCACAGTTCTCATCCTATTTCCTGCAAAATGCTCCC